CTGGTTTGTACGCCCAGTTGACCCAGTAAAGTGAGCAAGTGAGCATTTGGTGGCCCGGTAGGTGCCGAGGAATAACCGTGATGGCTTGTGGACCTTTGGCGCCTCGGTTATGCGTTGTAACGGGCATGCTTCTGCGCGGAAGACGCAATCGCCTCACCGGAGGCGGCGTGCCCGGCGTCTTATCGGTCGCACTTATTTCGCCGCCGGTGTCCGTGAGTACACGGACGACCAACGTGACAGCGGACACACCACCTTATACTGAAGGGAGGGACACACCCCTCCCTCCGCGTGTTAATATTCTGCGGCTAGGGCGCAGTGACGCAACGGCGGTAGTGATCGCCTGAACGGAAGGCATCTGGGATTCATTAGCGCGTCATGTACGTTGCATGGGCGTGGACGGCGCGGCTCGCTGATGAAAGCCGGCGATTGCGTCGAATGCTGTCGGCGAGGCTCATCAGGCGTCGTGTCTTCCGAGACATGATTGGTCGAAATGGCGCCACCAAACGGTTGTGAAGGAAGGGGGGTGATCAAAAAGCGTTTAACTTCTTGCAAAGATAATTAGCAAGCTCCGGAACGCATATTTAAATCCGTGAAACACCCTGCTTGCCTGCAATGTTGCAGCTATCGCGCTGGGTCATGCTGTGACACAAAACCTGGGGGCCCGTGTGCGGACCTTACCGCAAAGCTATTACAAACCCAGAAGATAATTCATGGTAAAGGGCATACTGGTCGGAAATTTTGCCCGTAGCTCTGCATGCTAAGCCGATTTTGGCGCGCCCAATCCATTCAAAGCTGCCCTCGGCGCCCGTCGATTTGGCTGAGGACAGGTGGGAGCGTGCGCGCCATCTACATGGGGCGAGTTGTCCAGATGGCGCCGTGCGCGCGGCAGGGCAGTAGAACACCGCCTTTGCGGACAGTACGTTGTGGATCATCGCAGTATCCGGGGATTTGGGATGACAGTGGACAAGTTCCCTGCTCGCAGATGCTCGGATTGGGACCAAAACCATGTTTTGCTCCATACTTGTGGGCCGGGAAGGGACATGTTGGAATTTGACGCAAACCGCGTTTTGTAAGGCACGAGGTGACCGTATGGAACGGCCTCGGGGATCAAAGGGCCATTCGAGCCAATGGTTAGCAATGGTAATGTGAAGGGCCGGTCTCAGCAGAGGTTGAGAAAATCGAGGGGCAGAAATTCTCAAGGCTGTTCCTCTATCCTAAGGGCCGAGCACGGCCACAGGTCCCCCTGGCCGCACTTCCGGGTAGTGAAAGCCAGCCCGGGGTGCCGGGAGAAGCCCTGGGTCCCGGACTGCCGAAACCAGTACGGTCGAGGACCCTCGATCCACCTGTTGCAGCTCAAAGGTCATGGGGCGGCTTGAGAACCTCAAGGCGGTTGGGCCCAAACGGCCAAAGGTCTGGACCCACCCTGGCGAAACACAGTACCTGTAGATTTGTAGCTTGATTGTAACAGGGGGCCGCCGGGGCAAGACAGCTAAGAGCCCTAAAGCGACCGTGGGTGCTCCGGCGCTGGGGGTTACAAAAATTCAGGGGAACGTGAACTCGAATGGCCGTCAGACGGCAAAGGCTAGCGGCGTGGTAAGTGGCCCGAGATTTCAGAGCCCAAGGCTGGACAGTGTGACGTTCCAACACTGCAATCTCCGAACTGAGGAAAGCGCTGTACTCTCCGAACCGAGAGGAGCGCCGTACTCCCCGATCCGAGGGAAGCGCTGTACTCTTCGAACCCAGGGAAGCGCTGTACTCTCCGAACCGAGAGGAGCGCTGTACTCTCCGAACCGAGGGACGTTTTTTCCGAACTGGTCAAGATCACCGACATTGGCAAAGGCCATCAAGGCGGTAAAGGGAATTAATGGTTATAGATCTCAACATAATCAAGGACCCATAGACGCGAAATAACCGATACAGGCAAGGATATCTAGCTGCTGAGCGGCATGAAGCCCATGGGACTGAATGCGGCAGTTAGGGGATGCCCCAGATGTTGAAGGGCTCGCCTAAGCCAAGGTGCCCGACATGGCCCTAGACGGAATGGTTGACCAGGGTTTGAGAAAGCCAGTGACGGTGGCAGCGAACGGGCGCCTAAGCATCCCGGGCCCGGAAGGATCGTGTGGCCCCTAATGCTTAAGCAACCCATAGTGGTCAAGGAGCCCAAGCCAGTAAGGTCATCTAGGAAGATAAAAAAGACCACGGCATTGGAACTGTCCTTGTGGAATTCGAAATCTATCATAAAATTCAAGATATTAAAGCACAAAGACGGCGAAGAATCCCCAGGGTAACACAGAAGCTCAGTGAACTCGAAAAAAACTTAGGTTCCAAAACAAGGTCAGGGGGCCACAGCGTCGGCCAAGTGTTCCTCAAATAGATAACAGGATTCACACGCCCAGAAATAACACCGGGACGCTCCTGGTTGGGGAATGGTTCGAAGCTTGTACTTCAAAACCTTTGAGGGTCATTCCGTATCATCTACTATGCAGACGAAATCACTCTGGGTTTTATTAACTGATGGGTAAAGCTTGAACAGACTGGAGAGGGTCTAACAGTCACGGGTCAGAAATTTAGGGACTGGATATTCGCATAGCTGCTAGATGCCAAGGCTTTTCGGCCCAAGCAGGCGTGCGTGGGGATCCCAGGAGCAGGTAACGCCATTTGGATCTGAGCGACATCCTAGATCCTCTGGGATGCGGGATCTATTGCGAAGAGTAGTCTTGAGCCGCGGGTCCCCGTCATGCTTTGACGAACAGACTGTGATTCGTGATATATTTCAGCTTTTTTTGAAGGAGCTGTTTAAATCGGGATTTATTGTTCTGTTTTTCAAGAACCCTTGAATCCTTTAGGATGGATAATGTGCTATTGTGGGCAGCTTTGCCATAACTCAGCTGCTTTTTTAATGGAAGCTATCTGCCGTCTATGCTTTATTCTACTACCATCAACTGATGTTACTGTCAGACTCCAACAGGGGTGACATTTTAGGGATGGCAAGGGGCATTCCCCAACAAAGGCAAAATTTAACACCAATCATACCATGTTGCATGGAAAGAAACAACTAAAAAGCGACTTTGCCCAACCAACTTTAAAGAAGCTCTGCCGTCACCGATGACCTGAGTGTTCAAATCGAAGAATTGAAGTGAGAGCTTGAAGCCATCTCAGTGGATGCCTTGCGATCGGCTGATTATCATGACGCTGCGATTCTGGGAGAACATTGCCCGCTATGGCCGGCAGCTCGCATCTCATTCGGCGGGCAGGATTAAAGTTATGCAGTGCAAACGCGTTTCGATGCTGGAAGTCCACTCGCTGGATTAACTGCGGCATGCTCCGGAGCGAGGTAAAGCGACACAAGTGGGCGTCGTGTGTCAAATCTCGGCCAACTTGCCACAAACCTGGTTGCTAACGGCTCTTGGGCGCGGGGTTCGTGCGTTTGGCGTGCATCCGAGCGTCGCGAGACCGGGACGTGTTTGCCCACGATCAGAACCCATCGTAACCCACGTGACCTGCGCGACGGCATGGTCAGACAAGTCTGGTCCCGCACGGGCCAGCGCAGACAGTCGTAGCTTTTGGCTGATGTTAAGCAGTTCATGTCGGGCCTTGCGTGACGTGGAAATGAGGGGAAGATGGCACACCTGCGCAGAGTGAGGCTTGGCTTGGCTGCAATGTCGGCCAGCAGGATGGAATCCGGCGCGAGGAGCGTATGGGCGCGGGTCTGATCACAGGGGGAGAATTATTTGATGATCGCGAACGGGCTATCATGGCCATTTTGCGCCCATAACAGTGTTAAATGCCTGACGAGCTGCAGAAATGAAAGAAAGTTCTGTCTTCGAGAAAAAATTACCTGCCGCAAGCAAGCAGGAGCAGTTGCCAACAGTGATGGACTGGGTTAAAATGGAGCATCTTCTCCGAAATGAGACAATTTCGGTGAGTGATGGACACGAGCGAGTAATACGGCAAACGCCGAGCGGCGCACCACACCGAGACCCGCGGGGCCGTCCGCCGCACGACATGCGTCGCATGCGTGTGACCCTCTCGTGTCCTGCACAAGGTCACTTCTGCGTGTCACGCCTCGCGTGAGCTCAACGGTCATAGGCATAACTGAGGCTTCAACGCCTTCAGCTAGCTGTTCAACATAACATCCCAGCGGTGTTGCCGTTTTCCTTGCAACCAGACCGCGATGGCTGGCCAGAGGTTCCTGGCCGGCGGCCGAGAATGAGTGTCAGCTGAACGCGTTGCATGGCGCGCGTGTCAATGCGCAAGCCTCCATCGCAGCGGGCCCGGGCAGCATGCCCTCCACTGAAGTGGCACCTGAGATAGGCCGGTCGGGAAGCGCAAGTGCCCAGTCACTCGACATAAGTTAATAGTGAGTCATGACCGGGAAGATGCAGTAGTCGGTGTTGGGCCGTTGCTCCACTGCACGTGAACCACCTGGCCCCCAGACGCCGCGGCAGATCGATCCCACCCTTAACATGATCAGCGCGGCGCAGGAACGCGGCCCAAGTGACACCTGCGTCCGGCGCAGACACAAACCTGTCTGTCTGTCTGTCTCCCCCGCCAGCGGAGTTCCAACATGCAGCCACCACCCCCGCTTCCACGGTAGCATCCGTAAAGGTGACGAAGACATTCCAAAGCACTTCTAGCGCCAGCTGGCGGCGCGTCTTGCAAGTTTGTGCAGTCATTTTTCAGCTGGCGACTCAAAACCCACATCATGGGGACATACAGCCTCACTGGTCTGACCACTATTTTGCGACGCTCGCAACTGTTCTTGGTCATTGCTCCAGCCGCACCCTGGTCCGTTAGGTCGGTAGTAGCGGGAGACTCGATGCAGTAGCAAATCACTCTGAGACCTAAGATCCTCCGGTCGCCGACCTAACAGTCTGCCTAATGTCTGCCTGCCTAATGCTGCCGCATCGATAGGACTCCTCAGCTCGTCGCGACTGTACTCCAGTAAAGGTCAGCATTCAGACACTCGCAGATCCCCCTCCCCCCCTCAAAAAACAATATTTCTGAGCACGTTTATTGTTGCAATCCGCAGAATTAGGGCACAACATGACAAAATGGCAAGGAGCGGTACCAGCTGTACCAAAATATGCAACAGCAAAGCAGGACAGAATATAATGGCAACAATCCTACACTAAAAGGTCAGGGCAAGCGAAACAAGCGCACCGCTCATCACCTGCCGGCGGCCTCAAATAATCACTAGCTCGTTACTACGAATTCGGATATGACTGGTCAAAGACCAGGGCAGCACGGCGCCAGGCGGCGCGCCACTTAGTGGCAAGCGACCTGGCGGGGCTACGATTATCTTGCACAGGGTAACTGCACAGAACCCAAGGGTACACGAAAACAGACGGCGGCAAGGCGGTCGGTCGTAAAGCTACAAAGCGATAACATAACATAAAGTAGGATGTCCAAGGGCGCCCAGCCGACCGGCGCTTTCGATGGCAATGAACACGCCGGCCTCCTGCGCCGGGTCGTTGAACGGAATCAATTGATTTTGTACGCCACTTGAACCGAAAGTCCCTGCATTTTAGCAAGCTGAGCAGTGTCCCATTCGACGAGCGCCCAGCGGCGCTGCCGCTGAGCCGCGCACGTGCAGGCTGTGTCCCGTCAAGCGGCCCTGACCTTGTCACCACGGTATAAAAACACTGCCGCCGGCGGGACACGACTGGCCCGGGGAGCCGCCGGGGGGTCACGCGGCGCTCGCCGGCTCATTCTGGAACGGAGGGGGCGAGCGTCACACGGGCTACGCCCCGGTCCGTCACGGCCGGTGACGAGCGTCACGCACCCGCCGGCCGGTGCGTCGACTGGCGGACCACACGATCCCGGCTGGGGCTGGACGGGACACACAGCGGGCTTGATTGGGACAGCGCCACTATAATTAACCAACTCGGGTATGTGTTGGGGTCTGTGCTTGTCGGAAAACAGCAGTGGCCGCGAGCGTCGGAGAGTTCCCTACTCTGATAACCGGCGTAAAAAGAACAGATGGTCCATCCCCAGATTGACTGCACTGCGGTCTGGATAGCTGCGCTCCGCACTGCCGTTGATATAAAGTGGCCTGCGAAGTGGACAGCGCGTCCAGCTCAGTTGGCCGCATCAGTGATCGTGCACGGACGGCACTACAAGAGACAAACAATATCAGATTCGGCGCAGCCAAAATGTCAGGCTCGAATGACTCCCCATGAGTCAATATCGCTTCGCACATACAATGTAGCACCTGAGGGTGAACGACCTGGGCGCCACTCGGCAGATGACAACACAGGTTTACTACCGCGCGAGCCAGAGACTGAACACGTGCCACCAGGAGGGCTGAGACGAGCGTTGCTGGCGTCATCCTTAACGAGCAATCCAGCACTTCAGCTTGAGATGAGAAGCCTCACACAAAAAGAGACTCGTTTCTACCGATCAGGCTATCTGAATGCGCGTCACCAGTGTGCTACTTCGCAGTCAATAAAAATGGCCTTTGTTGGCTGTTAGCACGGTAGAGTAATTGAGAGGCATCGCCGGTGGTGGGCGGAGTCATGATCTCCCCCGAGTCAGGCGCCAGCCCCTTCCTGTCGCCTGGGCTCCAGCGGCGATTCTATCGCTTTGCTGCCCAACATCCCCAACTAACGGCCCTGCCCCTCCCCACCCCTCCTCCAAGTGAACAATGGCTTGCGCTTCGCAGCGTTAAATCCTGGTCATGGCCAGGAACGGACCAAGGAATAAGTTCCCACCTGTAACAAATGCGCAGGACGAATAATGACGCAGTCACGTTTAATATCGAACAGGGCCGTTTCGTTTCACGCGACGTTTAGCGAATTACCCCCCCCCCCCCCTAGACATCTGGTTCCATACATGCTAGGAATTCATGTAAGCGTTACATGCTTGCTGAACCTATCCACAAGTTTTGAATCATTATTTACCTGGAAGTACTGGGAACAATATGCGTCTATTGCACATCACACGAGACTGACAAACGTACAGACCTTGAGGGCGATCAGTCCATCTGTCTAACCGTATCGCACGAATCCATGCTAATGGTTCTCTTAGAATGTGAGCAGTGCGATCTAAATAATCCTTACAGAAAATCCCATGCTGGTAGGCGTTATAGCTACAGCAGAGGATTGATGGAAGGTGCAGAGCAAGAAACAACAGCTGCATCAGACGAGGAGTACAACGTCGATACAAATATCTGGTTAACTGAGCCTCATTATTCATGACAAACTGCGGGACCTCATTAAGCACCAATTTGCATATTCCAAAAGGCGAACTACGGCAAGTTTCCGCAGTGGCATCAAATCCAGTCGTAACAAACTCGAAACCATTGCGTATGAATGTAAACCGCCCCTTATCACCAAATTCAAATAGACTACGCTTACAGCAATAACAAGCAAATTAACCTTGCTTCTGCCAAGAGGGAAGGCCACATTGCAGGCAGTTCCGACTAAGAAGTACTTTAGGAGGTTAGCACTGCTGCTGAAACAACCAACGGCACAAGGGCCCAAACATGCCGCTTTCGATGCCCTCAGATCAGACGCCACCAAGGAGAATCAACGGTAAACCAGGTGTGCAGACGGCAGCATTCTTGTCTTGTCTTGGATTAGGGCGGATAGCCTCCTGGGCTCAGGCGTCAAGTTCAAGCAGACGGCAGCAGCACTACACCGGCACACCAACGACGTCTACATGCGCGCCGCGCATGCCGCGTCTAAGCTAGCCTCTGCCAAGGCCGCCTGCATACAACAGGTGGCCGCGTCTACGCTAGCCTCTGCCGCGCCCGCCCGCCTGCAGCAGTACCGTGGCCGTGCGCGCAGTCAGGGCTCGACCAAAGTGTTCCTGCGGCTGAAGCCCCGCGGCCAGACTGCGAACAGGCGCGGCGTTCAGAGTCAGCAGGCGCCGCCCGCTGGCCCGCTCCGGTCGGCTCCGTTCGCGTTCGACCCCGCCCCCGGGACGCAAGAAGGCACGGGCTGCGACAGCAGGGTGCCCGTCGCGCGCCCGGACGGGGAACAAGACGCGACACGAGGCTGCCAGGAGCTGAGCGCGGCGGGGCTCGCCGCAGAAGTAGCGTTCGTAAGCACGGAGAGGTCACTCAAAGCCACACACGCGCAACGGTACGGGTCCAGCGCTTGTCCACAGACATGGGGGCTCCGCGGTCACTAACACCAGCACATTGGAACGGGCGGTTCTCGCCGAAAAAGTCTGTGACGATACACCGAAGCTATTCTGTTACCACCGCGTCGTCACACAAACTGCGAGCGTTCAACGCAGCCGCACAAGCAGTCACCAATATGCACAAAGCGTTTGCCAAGCAAAGCACCAAAAGCGAGGCGCACAACATCGTGTGTGTGTGTGTGAATGTACGCAGACATGTGATATGGAGAAGCCTTGCGTCCACGTTGTCAACATGCCAATATTTATGCAAATGACATGTCCGAGCAAAGTCTTTGTGACGAAACTCGTTCATCTTCTCCGCTTGCACGACACCAGTATAACCCTCTGCCGCAGACAACAATGTTGTCCTTGTCATGCAATAATTTGACGCACAAGGGATCGCCGAAATATTATAGGGATGGAAACATAAACAGCCCGCCCAGGATGTGGCGAGCTCCACAAACACTGGTTCACCAAGCCTCCATACCCGCAAGGAGGCTCTTGTATCCGCATCACGTGATGTCACAAAGACCACGTGACGTCACAAAGACCATCCAACAAGAAAGCTGCCCTCGTCCCCCGTGCGGCACCGTTCGAACCCGCAGACAAGGCGGCCGCATCAGCACCACTGAACGCTAAAGCAGGCCAGCCTGGTGCCAGCGGGCGGGCGGCCGGGAGTCCAGCAAGAGGCGGCGTCAATCAGAGGCAAAAAACGCTGCGACCGCCTCCGTCCCGCCGCTCAGCAGATATCAGTCGATGTTCGTTTGCTCTCTGCACATAAACTCCGATAACACAACGATTCCGCTATCGGCTACGGTGAACAGGACCTCCGTAAACCCATTTTACAGACATGAGGCCACAAAATAAACGAGTGATAGCATTCGAATTTCGCATTTCAAAACGCAAACGTTTAGGTCACGCGCCTTAGTTTAAACCTATGCTGGTTACCTTTGTGATCGTTTTGTATTTTAATGTATCGTATCTTGAATAATCATATTCTATTGCCCAGTCCATAGTTACGTATTTTATAGTATATTTCGTAGCATCGCCTGTTATATATATATATATGCATATATATATATATATATATATATATATATATATATATATATATATATATATACACGTTGTGTTGTAATGCGTTTCTGTCATGTGTTGTGGGCGAGTGGTGTAACGACCGGAAGCTAGCAAAACCTGAAAGCCACCTCGTTGATGAATGTCGAGCAAGATACGAGTGCAGATATAAAGAAAAACAACAGCAGACTGGTCTCAAGAAAATCTCGCAATTGATAGCCAGCTTTGGAGACCCAATTTCATATCAGGTCATAAGTCAATTTTCCCCAAAATGCGCTAGTCCAGCTTTACATTCCAAAATGCATGAAACCATGTCACAAAACATGAAATTTACAGAGACATGCTCCTTGTTCCATTCTATGCGCATCAACATGTAGTTCTGTGTGTTTTAGCATGTATTTATTACGCAGGGCTCTGCTAATGAGTGCCGGCCCGCCGCGCGGTCGGCGGATTTGTCGGCTGCCGCGCGCCGCTCGCGGACCGCCGTGTAGTGTTCTTTAAAAATCGGTGGTGGTCGGAAACCATCAAAGCTTGGAACACATTTTTGGTGTCAAATCCCACGTAAGAAATGTCCCACGGGATGCAGAAAATTTGGGCGCCATTGCACGACACGCTGGAGAAATATCCTCGTAAAACCTCAGGGAGTCGCGTTGATTGCCCCTCTCCCTTCATCAGCGCGGGGATTATTTCAATATGATCACGTAACATACATGAGCACAGCGGACACCATTACTGACAAACCAGCACGGCAGACACGCCTCGGACCAGACCTCCGGACTCAGAAGTACAGCCTTCGGGACGCGCCAGCCGCTCCGCGTGCGGCGTCGGCAAGTGGCGCCCGGCCGGGCCGCCTGAGCGCGCCGCCGGCGGTCCGGCCCGGCCACTCCGGCCGCATCACGGGCCGGCGGGGCGCGCCGCCCGCCCCAAACCCAATCAGCGCCGGCGCCGCCACCGCCCCGTGCCCACCACTCACCCTCCTTGTCGGCGTTCTCCTGCTGGTTGTCTCCGTTGCCCACCTGGAAGGCACGGGCGCGCGTTAGCCGGTGGCGCGGAAATGACCTGGGGCGGAGGCGCCATACAGTCGCGTCCGGCGCTAACTCGGGGACAGTGGGCACCGGCAACGGGCGCCGCCGTCGGGGGAGAGCGCGGCCCGCCCACGACGCGCCCTGCTGTGACAGATAGCAGGATGCGTGCGAGCTTATGCTTGCTGCTGGGAGACAAATGCACTTGTGCGCGGTCCAGTATGAGCCTGGCTTTGCGAGAAAGTAATATGCCCCTCTTCGAAGAAATATTTATGGAAGTAAAATTGGGAAACACGAATTAGCCCGTTCACTTTGACATAGTCATCACGATTTGATTTCGACACTGCCAATGCAGCTTTATCCAGCGGTTGTAAATCAGTCGCAAACCGCGGGCCATGAGGTCAGGCGACTCATGGTTCATATTAATATACATCATTTTAACGCGAGTGCAGTGAGCTAAGCAAGACCAAGTCAAAGCGCTCAGCGCTGGAGACGAGCGAGCGTCGAGTGTGTGATGCAAATCCAACCGCGACGCCTCAGCAGTTATCATCCACAGAGCGACGTTCAAACACGGTAGTGAAGATATTCAAGATAGCCGTTAAGTGAAGGATTAAAAACTCGAATGCAGTCTCACGATGTTCACGGGTTAAAACAACCCGGACTTCGGGCAGACACTGGCTTATAACAGGCTGTTAGTAGGATGCCAGATACTCTCCGCAGGCAATTTACGCAAACCAAGGCACAGCACACGACAACGCACATACTGCCCGACGCTGGCATACCGTCCTGAAGATGGCCTTAGTCAGACAGCGTCGCATCTCCATCGTCATCCTCTACTCCAGCAGCAACTGGCTTGTCGGAACCATCTTTCGCGTCATCGACGGAGTCTCCAAGACGCTGCTTCTGGGGCGCCTCAGCATCCTTATCTCCCACAGCATCTTTCGCCGCCCTGTCCTTGTTCTCCAGCTGGTCGGCGGCTGCCTCGTCCTCCGCGCGGCCCTCGTCATCGGCTCGATTCTCCGCCGGCGCTCCGTCGGGCACGTCGCCGGTGTCCGGTCGCGGCTCGCTCTCCGCCGGCGGCGCGGCAGACGCGGCGGACGCCGCGCCGCCCGCCGCGGCGGCGCTGTCCGGAGACTGAAGGACGCGGGGCCGCTGCCGGTCACGGTGGCACGCGCGCGTGCATGCCACACCGCTGCTGGGGCTTACACAACGGGCACTGGACGCCACACGAGATGGCATTTGCACCTGGGATCTTGCACGGGATGGCATTTGCACCTGTGGTCTGCCTCCATTTGTGTCTACGGGCTGCGCGTGCCCGAGAGTTGTAATAAAAGTACGCGCTACGTGTAGTTGGTGGGGCGATGGTTGCAAACATGCGGTAACTGAGATGCGTACGTATACTGGTCCCCAGAGAGACAAACGCGGGACCTAGAACGTCTTCAAGCAAATCATCTCTTTTTTGGTGCATTTCGTACCGTACCGTTACTTTTCCAACGTTACATTTCCCATGTCGAAATGACCCAAGAGATTCCGTCACTCACACATAACAGCGGAACGCAACACGTTCCAAGTGATGCTATGCATTCATAATAGTAAGCAGCCCTTACGGAAAAAGCGCGTATTTTAGGCGAAGCATGTTCAGGACCGCAAGGAAACACGACGAGGTGAGATTCGACAGGAAAAAGATGGCCGGCGGCCTTTAAGCTGCCTGAGAGAAGCGGCATCGGAGCTCGAGTGCAAGCCTTGAAATATAGCGATTATCGCATCTTAGGACCTCGTCGACTGAACGTCGATAGCGGTAAAAAATCGCCAGACACGAGCAGCATGCTAAACACCACATGCACACTGTTGGTATCCAAGAAACTGAACCGTTCCTTATGTCCCTTGACGACAGTCGCCACCTCAAAACGGGCGGCTGCCAGACTCGCGCGGCTCAGCAAACACCGGCGGCTCATGCATATGGCACTAGTAGTATGTTCACGCCAAGTCCTGTAACACCCGCGTCGTTAGTCAGCGGGTTGCACTACTCTGGTTGCACTACAAGTCATTCGGCGTCACAGCACTCACGCGCCCGCGGGCGGACATACCAGCCGTTGCGCCGCCGCCTTCAGGTCCGCTAAATCCGGGTTTTCGTCCTCATCGTCTTCTCCCTCACTTTCCTCATCCCCAGATTTGTCCTCCTTGTCGTCTTCGACGTCGGCCTTTGCATCCGTGGCAGGGACCGTTTCCTCCTCGGGAGCTTTCGGCTCCGGCGTTGCCACCTTCTCATCGGTGGCGCCTTCGTTTGAGTCGTCAACCTTGGAGTCTTTTGCTCCCTCATCCTCCGCATCCACGGCGGAGTCGTTTTCCTCCCTCTGCTCGGCCGCTTCCGGTTCCACATCAGTCTTCACCTCCAGATCGTCAACTGGGGCTTGGTCGGGGGGCTCTACGTGATCCTCTTCTGTGGCCTCGGCAGCCGCGGGAGGCTCAGGATTGTCGGCGTGGTCGATTCCGTTCTCCGCCATTGGGGTTTGCTGAACGCAGCAAAGCCATCAGCCCGAAACGCTATTCCAATGGCGCATATCTTAAAAAGTCGCTGGACGATCATACCTTACGCGAACAACGAGGAACTATCGAAATGAAACTGTCTTCTGCTACATCAAGTTATGTTTTCCCAAAACGCGCAGCTGGTCACCAGATGAAACACATATACGATTTACCATGTGGGCATGCATAAAAGGGACCCGAAGAAAGAGAATGTTTGTGGCCGTGGCCTCTAGCTCTATGACTGAAACACGAGCTTATAGTTCTCAATTAGCTGCCAGCTCCCAGCATACGCCAGGCCAAGATATGGATGTGCAAAGCTGCAATCTCGTGCTGTACCTCGCGAGAAATCAGCTTAGTATCAGCACTTACAAATTTGCTAACAGTGTGTCATAATTCATAAACAGCTCGAAAATCATGTAACCACCAAGCCTGTCTGTTCAACCAAGTTGAACGTCCCGAAGGACAGGTGAAAACATATCTTTCCGGACATCCGAAAAAAACAAGTGGGCTCAAAATACCAGCAAATACAATGTCTAAAACAGTGCAACATATCCATATTTCAATGACTCCCCAGCAAAATATTTGGATGCCATAGCTTGAGAATTAATGAAATCGCACATTTGCACACATCAAACCCACTGCGGCTTACAAATTTACACTATGAGATCTGATATAATCTAAAACACGAGTCAACGTCACAATGCAAAATTATCGATGACTTCTGAGAAAAGCCTTAATGCGGGCAGCAACTTTATCGTCTGGAGACATATACTAGATAAAATCCTTTCAAAATATTAATATCTCAACCCAAGAGATGACGGAATAATAAAAGGTACACCTCAAATCACCACAGGCGTCTTACATGGTTCTTTAAAAATGTGATCGGCCATCTTCAGCCTCAGCAACCATAAACATGAAGTTGGAAATGCCTTGGGTCAAGCTACACACATAATTTCACCGTGTTTAAATTTTTAACTGTTTCGCGAGAAAAAAAATAATCCCGTTTATTTCGCACAATACAGATTGAATTCAAAACAGGGTGTTCTTTGGTAATCCACACGATATAAGTACGAGCGCAGAAAGTTACCTCTCTACTTGATGACCTCCTGTTCGCACTGAGGATATCCTGAGCCGTGTTCACCTCTCCTTCACTCAGCTTCAGGAACTGGTGCAGCTGATCTGTCTCATTCGCTACGTCAAAGCCGTCGTAGTCCTGGAAGGCACAAATGACTGACACTAGCACAAGCCCTCACCACCATATTCATGCCACCACGCATGCGTTTACCAATGACTTATACACAACCCAACCACTCTGCTCGCATGAAAGAATGCTGTTCATGTGCTACCAGCTCACAAACTAGGGCATCACAGCTGAGGCCCCACCGCGGCGGCCGCAACCGCGCAGCGTCCGCTCCTGTGCGGGCCGCGGCTCACCCCGCAGTAGTCCTTGTCGTTGAAGATCTGCGGCGGCAGCGGGTTCCGCTCGCCCTCCTTGGCCGTGGCCCGTCTCCTGCATGAACTTGCGCTCATCCTCACAGCCCGCCTCCGTGATGTCGATCAGCTCGTACTGGATGGCGCAGGAATCCAGCACCGTCTGGATCCGCTGCTGCCGCTTCTTCACCTGCAGGCACAGCGTCATTGCGCTCACTACGGGGTCCCGTCCGTTTAAGGAGACGGCGGTCTGTCAGGCGCACAGCGTCATTGCGCTCACTACGGGGTCCCGTCCGTTTAAGGAGACGGCGGTTCTGTCAGGCGCACAGCGTCATTGCGCTCACTACGGGGTCCCGTCCGTTAAACGAGACGGCGGTCTGTCAGGCGCACATCGCCACTGCGCTCACTACGGGGTCCCGTCCGTTAAACGAGACGGCGGTCTGTCAGGTGCACATCGTCACTTGCGCTCACCGCGGGGTCACGTCCGTTAAACGAGACGGCAGTTTGTGAAGTCGTTGGGGCACGCCCTTGGGTTCGCTGTCCGAGCCACAGGTTATACTGGAGATGGGTTGGGAAAAGGCGCGTCGCTTGTTGACAGCCATCACAGGACGCTTAGGAAGTTCGCCCGTGAGAATACGGCGCGCGAGGAACAATCGCATACAACGAGCAGGACCTATGCAACTTTGCAGGCAGATACACGCGTACAAAATCGCCAACATCCGTGATTCCTGAGCCTGAGACCACTCTGTCTGGGCTGCCAGGCCAACAGTCTGGCAGTTGGAGGGTATGTACCACCTCTGGGTTGGGGATAACAACAATAGGAATGTTCTGCCAAAGCACACTACCTGCTGGCCTGCAACGCACAGGTGCCAAGACAAGACACCTGCGCCAAGACACCTGTGCATTACACATTGGGCCACAACTGTGTTGGCCAGGTCATAAATTTGCAGCTCCAGACCATGCTGGCTTATCTCTCGCGAGAGGAACGTTTTTCTCACCTTTGCTGAACAACGGAGCTCACAGGCTCTAACGTTCTTGAAAAGTAAACATGCTGCTGCCAGGGCAAAAAGCATCATTGAATAGTTTGCATAAAACTGCCTCAGCTTGGTGCTGCTAAACACCCACATGAGTTACCCCAGTTGAGGAACACCAAGTCCAGAGGATACAAATTGTGACTTCATACTACTTCTGTCTAGAATCCTTGTGTGCTACCCTAGTTGGGAAAATAGTGCTACATGGCCCATGCCAGTCTGCATCCTATACTGATATCAGCCAATCATGTGACTTGTGACATTTCAATGGGGCAAATAAATGATGCCTTGAGTGCATAGCCCCTGCCCACCACATCACAAGAAATGAAAACTTGTGGCAAGACAGTGGGACAGTACTCAACATAGTTTATCACACTGCATTAAATATATGTTACTGTAATCTTTGGTCTGGCAGTATGTCACCACCAGGTCACAGAATATCAGACATCTCTTCCTCAAAGCTTTCTCATTTGTTATGTTTAACCCAGCTTGGATGTTGATAATGTAACCTGCCACTTGCTAGCTGCAATCAGTACAATTTTGCCATCATGAGGTTCTCACCTCACAGCAAACTAATATATGACACAGCCTGGGCATTCAAATTGGAAACATTACTAGGGATGTAGAAAAATAAATCAGAATCACATAACTTCTCTCTGCTCCAATAGCTAAGCTGTTTAGACTTGGAAGCACCTGCTTTCCAGTCCACCTGCCCATAGCAGGGTAGGCTCTCAGTCCCTTCCAGCCCTTGTTATCTGCAATGGCTGGGATGGTGGCCGGCTGGTGGCCACCCCCGCCAAAGATTCCAGTTGAAGTTACAGGGCAGGATGGAGCATGCTGATCACTGAGGCACCATAAACCACTCTCAAAAATTTCAATGTTTACTTGAAATTTCACAAACTGACAGAGGGGATTAGGGATCACACAACAAGCACTGTTCAGTGTTGACTCAGTCCAATCTCAGAAAACCATCTATTGAAAACAATTTGGAAAACAATTTAAAAACTTGACAAACACCAAATCATAGTTGGAGTGTTGGAATCCTGACTGGAGAAGCAATTATGTTGTCAAATCTGCTGCCAAAAATTTCTGCAATGTAGGTTTATCAGTTGGAGTGAAGTTCTCCAAAAACCTACAATGTACTCTGAAATCCCAGATGGATGCAGTAAAATACTTAATGATTTGTTTGATGATAATACCACAGAAAATCTCTTCTAAAAAAATAAAACACCCCCTGAATCCCAAACATTTTTTTCTCCTTTTTCAATTCACAAAGCAGATATCAAGGTTTAACATAGCAAATTGACCAAAAAAGTAGGGCAAGTATGATACAATTCTAGAAAATCTGCATCCTATATAGTCAGCTGGTCTGTGATTCAGACCCTGGTGTTCATGATCCTTACCACATATTCTGTCTCTGCTTAATTTACAATTATACACTCAATACATGTATGATATAATATGTGTGATACAATATGCACTATGCACCCAATACATATTCAACATTTCTGAAAAAACTTATCCATTCACTGTCATAGTCT